GCAGTTGACATAGCTGCAAGAGAAGATCGATGCTTTTAGCAATAAAGCCAAGAACTGCTGACCACTACAATATTCTTAATCATGGTTCATTTTAACAGACCTGGTCTGGAGACCCTAGCAGCTCTATTGCAAGAGCAGGTTTGTCATTTTTTTCTCTGAATCTGGAGACCCTTTTAAATTATAACTTTACTTTCCATAAATGTATTATATTTGTACTTGACCATGCAGCCTTTGAAAAATGCCAGTGTTGTGGGTTAGCTTTACATAGTCACATATATATTATTATTTTTTTGTGTGTATTTTTTTTGTGTGTGAAATTTCAGATTTATAAAACACTGAATACATGTAGATAGAGCATCATGCTATTTCATCTTAGCTCTGTATAAAGTGGATTTTGACCCAACACTTTTTTTTAAGACTTGAGTGAACAAACGCTGCTTAAATTTTGTCCGAGTCCTGCTCAGGAGCTTGTGGACTTTGCATCACTGGTTGAGAGGGGAGTATAATTCCACTTTAAATTCAGCAAAATACACTATGCATACAAAATACACACAATAATAAGGCCGGTGGAGGGTGGTTTACCTTTACAGGGCCTTGACAGTTAAAATAACAAAATTTTCTGAGGGAAGTCAGGTAACCTTTACATAGAACTTCAGGCAGGCTGATAAGTACACAGCTGAAATACACGGTTGGGGCTTTTGTAACTGTAAAAGGTTTGTATTTCCTTCTTTCCAGTCCTGAAATTTACATGGGCCTCCAGGCAGTGCAGTCAGATTGGTGGCTTGACATTTCTCTGTTGCAACTAAGAAATACAGCTTAGTCAGTCTGTGCCTCAGTCTGTGATTGGATAATGGAGTATCAGACTGATGATCTTTCGGGCCTGATGAACAGACTGGTCATCTTTCTCTCTGCTTCTTTCAGCATGTTACTTGTCATCACATGTGCATGTAGCCAATAGATTACAAGAAGCTTATACAAAGTCAAGTTCAGGTACATACACTAGTTGTATTTTTAAATACTTTTTAAAAAATGAAGACTTATCTGCAATTGGTATTTTCTTTGCCTAGAGTCTGCCTGAAGTTGGTTTTAAATCCCTACAAATATGGATGTTCAGATACCAGTGCCGATAGTTGACATTTTCATCAGAACTACCAGGGTAGCAGAAGTTGCAGCTGTGACTGGGCCCTTGCGCTCCACCACTATCCTGAAATCATTAGTCTATTGTTTTAGAAAAACTCACATGACACTAAACAAAAATGTATCAGTAATTGGTCTGTGAGTACCTGGACAAGTATCAGTACTTGGACTGGAAAAACTGGTATCGGTGCATCCCTAATAAATACAGTATATAAAACAAATCATACATTAAAACAGGGATGCACAAATCCCAGAAGCCCCCGTATGCTCCTTATAAATGACAGCTGCCTCCTAACATTTGAGTTTTTCTCTGGTCTAGTCTTGGAGCTGGAAACGTATCTGTACTTGTACTTGGTATCTGAACATCCCTACCTACAACAGTTGGGTTACTGTCTGAGCAAGAACAAAAGACATACCAACAGACAGTATTACAGATTTAATATCTTCTTTCAGTTAACCTTTGCTCAGGGTGTAAAGCTTCTGTACACAAGGCACCATATTCACTACTGTACCTATACTTTTACACTGCTATGATCTCTCAAAATTCTGATGCAAATACTAACTTTCTAAAGGCCAATTTTGACATAGGAGGCTGCCCTACGTCCCTCCAGACTGCAATGCTCAAACCTGGATATAAGTAGTACAATCCCTGCATTGTGGGAATCAATTCAAAGTGGGTGTATTTACACCATATATTGGGATTTGCACAAGGATTTTTAGGGTATTCCAGCAATACTCCAAGACTAAATGTAAAAGCAAGTATGATGTAGCAAAATAGGGAGCCTGCTGCCCAGTAGACACCTTTGTTTAGACATTGCTACAAAGCACAGGTTTGCTTTACCTTTTACATTTCATGTTATAAAAAAAAGATTTGGCAACATTTCTACAGTTGTATTAGTTTTCAAATGTACAGACAGATTTGTTTACAGTGTATTTATTTCCTTTTTTAACAAGGAAAATATTTTAAAACACAACCCTCTTAATTCAGAAACCTGTTTTTGATTGATCTTCTGTTATTATTTGCATAATAAAGTATTACAATAATTATACGATTTTATTAAAACATTCTCTATGCAGAGTGTTAGTGACTTAAATGCTTGTTTCCCTATTAAGCTTTGGAAATGTGGCTCTGAGTATTTTCAGTATGTTTAGATTTATGCCATTTTCGCCAAAATTCTGTGCTGTGGAAGAGAAACTGGGCCACACAATTAAATGGTTCACCAACTCTTATTTTATACTACTTATTCCATTGTCAATCACTTTGAGATGTAATATGTACTGTATACCAATTTTGAATGCCTAACAAGAAATTGTGTTTCTTTATTTAGCTAAAATAGCGTTGAAGCTAGACAAGTATTACTAAACTAGACCTTAGTTGATGAATAGAATCTGTGAGGACAGAAATATGTGAACTGCCATTCCTGACTTCTTTTTCAAGCCCAAGTCTGGGCAAAAATCACAATTTCACCATTAAAAAAAATATATACTGCTAAGCCACTTTCTTACTTACCTTAGTCCACTGTGAAGAAGACTCTGTAATGACCCCTGAAAGATAGACCCTTTGAGGATTCCCCTGATCCCCTGATAGAAAACTATCAGCCGTCAACAGTGTTTTCTGCAGCTGAAAATGATACATTAATTCTGACTGGAATGCTATGGACAATGAGAAATGCCCTTTTTCTCACATTGTTTATACTTAAGAACCTAGTTAGAGAAGCCACGATCAAGATGACATTTCTGGAATTTGCACATTAAAAAAAGTAATGGCAGTTCCCATATCTCCATTCTCATGGTTTACTTTCAGTGTATATTTCCACTTTTATGGCCAAACTGGGATAGCACCTTTTTTAAATGTTATGTGTTCCCATTCACTTTGCATAATCACGCAAAAAAAATAAAAAAATCTTGCACTATATTGCCTTTTACTTGCTAAAATGTCTACTTGACTTCTACAAGTCCGTGTAATGTTTACTTATTTCATTATATTAAGTAGATTTGAACACTGTCTGCCCTAACAAAGGGTCAAAGGATTACAACCCCGTTTTCTGCATTGTATGTTAAGGAGAGAAACGCATTCCATGCATTCCTGTCTTCAATCCTTCTATATGGACAGGTCACTGTAAGGGTGCTCAGAAAAACTTGGATTCTACCATTTTGCTTGCTGCAACAAAAGATCGATCTAGGTAAGAAATATTTAAAAAAAAAAATGTTTTAAAAAATATTTTTGTGGTATGCTGTGTAAATATGAACACATAACAAACATACAGTGGAGTTGTGACTATGACTGCAGTCATAAGTGGAAATACACTTTTAAGCAATTCTGAGGTATTTTAGATAATTGGCACCATTTTCACAGCATGTGATGTTTCAAATATACAGGTACTGGTTTTATTATTTCATTGTGTTTGATTTTTCTGTATATGCGTTTTATTCTAAAGTGCAAGCATTAAGCCTAAATTATACCACTGACATTTAAAATGAAATGTTTCCCATCAGCCTCAGATTCATTATCCTTCCTGTTAATTATATTAGTAGGGACTGTTGGAAGCAGCTCTTGACATGTTGATCATATCTCCATATATAACAATTTGTAGATATTAAAAGCAATATTGTTCAGACTGGAACTTAAAGCAATTCTGAAGTATTATATACTCACCTAAGCCAGCTCTATCAGCAAATGGAAGGCATCTCCCAGTTTCCTTCATTTCTGAACTTTCTACAGTTTTTAACACCCAGGGTATCCAGTATACCCAAATGCTTTGTAATGCACCTACTACCTGGATCACCTGCCTCCTGTGCCTCATTATTAGCCCACAATTGTGGTAGGAAACCTTGCTGGCCAATTGTAGGGTTTAGGAGATTTGTGGGGCCAGGATCTTAACCACTTGATCCAGAAAGTATTTATGGAAGCATTTGGGCATCTTAGATACTCATGGTGCTTACACTGAGAAAGAACGTTTAGTGAAGGCATGTAGAGGTGCTTGCTATATGCTGATAGTACTTTATTAGATAAGTAGTTCAGAATTCCTATAACAAAATGATGACTTGCCTGGTAATTTATTTAATGTTTTACATTATATTGATCATTTAAGTCATCTATTTGTTTTTAAAATATCCTACTAAAGTAAAATGAGGATTAGAGATGAGCAAACTGTATCTGGTCATGGTTGACCCACAAATTGCCATTCTACTGATTTACTAAAGGTGCCATTCTTACATCGATGTGTGTTAACTTTGAAGAGAACCTTTCCTGAGAAAAACTTTGTTGACTTCACATTCTTAAAATTCTAGTTGTTGGCTATGACACTGACCCTCTTGCTTCAGTACTTTGAGACGATAACCTAGAATAGGTACACAGATAAGGATTTCTGAGTTTACTCTAACGTTCCTAATCTGAGTACATGTTGAGGGTTGGTAACTCAGGATGCATTGAAGCCAGAGGGTAAGCATTACAGGCAGGAAACGAAAATGTTCTGAAAGTGGTCAGAAATGAAAGCATTCATATTTCTTTTAGGAAATGTTTACGTTAAAATCATATTAGCTTTGGCATTACCACAAGCAACACAAGTACCATTTCCAAGGCAAATGTATTTATATTTTGTTAGTAGGAAAAGTTTTTGTACTAGATTATAATCTTCTGTTTGTAAATTATTCCAAATTTACTGCACATTGTTCAGACTATAGTGCAAGATGTATTCCAGCTATACTACACAAATGAAGTTCTATTTTTGTCAGTAAATAGAATGGCCTTGTTTTACAACAAATAATCCTCAAGACTGGATATCTGGTCCAAATCTGACAAAAGTTTAACCTTAAAGTTAATTATTACATGTTTGCTCATCCCTAATGATAACTATATGCTCAGCATATAGTAGTGGGACATTGTGTCCCGGTAGAGAATAGAAAAAAAAATCCATAACAACTTATTTTCATTAACAGTCTCAACACTCCTATACAAGGCCGTAACATTTGCTTTATTGATATTCTGATGCTCTGTGCCCCAATACCCCAAGCCCCTTATTACTGTCTATTTTGATTGAAGGGGTATCAAGGAGACATTCTGGGGTGGTAAGGTTTTGTTTTCTTCGGGGTGTGGAGCAGTAGATTCAGTCCATAAACAAGTCAAACGCACGGCTCAGCGTTCAAAAAAACCAAGACAACAACACACAAACCAGAATAGAAATAACCTTGATTCTTAGGAGGGCATAGAGGACATTTAGGGAAAATTAGGATAAGGGAGGGGAGAGCATAGAGAGCATAACAAAGGCCAGTTCTGTTAGCCTTCATTCCATTTTTTTGTAAGTCTTTACTCTTAACATGCTGCCATCCTCTCCCCTCAATGGCTCCATGTTTTAAGGAATTACAGTTGAATAATCACTATGTACCATCCCTCCTGACTTCAACTAGCCTCTTCATGGAAGGAAGTCTCTGCTCTATGTCCCTTTACTCAGTACTATCTTTATCAGTAAACAAGGTCTAGTTATTATTGTTTTTGTTTTCTATAATAATCTGAAACCGTTTCTATCACAAGAGGAAATCTTGATATTTTTATTCTCCAGATGGAAACAGGAATATGAAGAGAAATATTTAGCGATGCATAAGAGATGCATTTAATTTTGAGACTGCGTTCAAAAATTTAGATGTGAGACACTGAGCACATGGTTGTTACTGGAGGCATCTCTTGGTCTGAGTGGATTCATCAGATGGCTGGATCATGGTCAATTAGTAGATTGGTTAAAGTTTACCCACTGTTTGGAAATTTGAAGACCAGTGGATATGTCCATGTATGATGTAGGTGACTGTAGGTTCAGTACAATAAGTTGGCAATTATTGACATTCAAAAAGCTGACCAAACATTAATATCTTGTAAACCCTTCCTGGGTTTGTAACAGTTGGTAGTTGTTTAAGCATTGGGTTCGTTGGTTGGTTGATTAGGGTGACAGCCAACTGCTGACCTGGAATTTAGTCACTGTTGCTTAGTCAATGATTGGTCACAGCAAGGGGTCAGTCTGGTTTCCTCAATGAATGGCTGGTTTGATGATGACCAACCACACTCCCACAGATGGGAGAGTCTATTTTAGGCTCTTACACATAATACTCCTTGTCCTTATTTTTCTTATTTTTACCAGCTGTTTTAGTGGCAGGCACTGTCTTTTCCTTTACCACAGCACCATTACTCTGGGCTGAGTTACTGATGTAGTTCCGGGTTTGGTCCACTTGGTAGGATCCCTCATCCCTGTTTCTGTACTTATACATTGCGTAGAGAAGAATTAGTATGCAAAGAGCAGCTGCTGCCACAATTCCCACAACCATTCCTGTGGTGCTGCTGGACTCCCTGATAACTTCCACAGCTCCAGGTGATCCTTTCTCCCCTGAGCCTGTAGGGTTTGCTGTAGGGAAATTGTGGAAATTAGGGGAAGATGTAATAGATGGGAATCTTTGCTTATTTAATTTGTCCAGCTGAAAAGAGGTAGGGATATGGGGGTATTGGTCTATGTTGGGTTTTGGGGGTTCCCTGTTATTCATTTTGCCGGCAGGGATGTTCCGGACAAGGTCTGGGGATGTGGTGGAGGTGAGAAGGTCATAAGGAGAGGAAGTAGAGCCTCCTGACTTTGTATTTGGTCGAGAGCCAGGAGGTCTCCTCTCTGGTTTAGATGGTGGGGTTCTTTCTGTTACCAATGGAAAACTGGTATAGAAGTCCTCATCATCAGTTGGAGGAAAACTTGATTCAAATACTTCCCCCGAGGCATAACCAGAAACCTCTATCCCCTCCTCGCAATCACTATCTTCTTGCTCAGAAGGGCATGGTGGCCTCAGGTTGGAAGGAACATTCAAGGAATCTTTGGTGGTGTCCAGAGTAAGGACAGTTCGGTATGTAGGGGGAGGAGGTATAAAGGGAGAGCGAGTGGCAATGGGAGGGGTATCTAAGGAATCTTCAGTTATTATGGGCAATATTAACTCCCCTCCTGTAAACAAAGAAAAGAAAAATAACACAGAGAAAACAGCAGAGAAATGTGTGAGTAAAAACCTCAGAAAGTCAACAGGAAATCAATACAATGCTTTCTGCTAACTCCCTCAGTACATCCAAATCTACCAGTATAGAAGAACCATGTCTAAGCCCAAAATGTTCTAAATTTTTTTTAAAAAACACTATCTAATAAACATTTGTAACATAATTCACTTATACTAGATATATAATTTACACAACATAATTAACTTTCTGAAACCTCTCTTCTTTCCTGACATGCTTTTATATTAGATCTTGTCACATATACCTCCTTTTGGCTATATTTCTCCTGGTTCTTCATCCCAACGACTATATGAATGCTTCTATTAGAATATTCTGTTCTTTTAAACCCTTCTAGTTAATTTTAATTTAATAAAATGATAATCATCTTTTATAGTATTTGTGAACATATGATTTACTTCATCAAAAATGTTTTAATAGGTTAACTAATACTTCGAACCTGTTCACTTTCCAGCCTTTATCTCACTATAGTTATACTCTGTTCTATTCTTACTAGCCACTTACTCTTCTATTCTTACTAGCCACTTACTCTTCTTTCTATACATTTAGTTACTTCCCTGTACATATGCTTACATATTTTATATTTTCTTTGCCTTCTCTAAACCCAACAACATTTATTTTCTTTCCAGTTTAGCTTAATTTGACTGACTTTCAGGTAATCCTGCAATGTTTTGATATTTTGTACATTTCTTTCTCTTCATTATTTTTCTGCCTTTAAAAAAGTAGAATACCACACTCCCTTACTGTCATCCATCCCCAAACTAATCTTTTCCTTTTTATTCGAGTAACAAACCTCCCACCCTCTTAATATTTTCATTCTCCCCAAGTATCTATATAACTAAATCACTGTTTATTTAATATGCCCTGTTCTTATCAAATAAAATTGATTCAGAATATTTAGACAACTTACATCAAACAATTGGCCACATGAGATTGAGAATTAAGAACGTAAAAAAATAAAATAAAAAAAAGGAAATTACTGAAGAGGGGAAAAGTAAACAAACACCCCAATATTTAAATCTGGCCTTGAAACAATATCACCTTGCTGATAAAACACAACACTTTTTGCTTTATAGAGCTATTCATTAAAATCTACAAAAATGTATATTTAATATAAGCAATTTATATATAACCTTGTACACTGTAGTGCCACTGATCATGCAATGGCATTCTCTAACAGGATTAACAAATGAATGCATCGCTGGGCTGAAAACTATAAATCCACAGTAGTAAAGCAGAAATATAGTAATTCTGTTTAGTAGATGTTCATATATTGCACATTGGACTTTAAGGGGTTTCCCAGAGAAGAGTAAAACATAACTCAGATGGTGAACCCTTACCCTGTCAAACGCAAAAGCAACCTTGGCTTAGTACTGCTAACATGGGGTTGACGGTGCAAATATAGTACATAATATGTCAGTGGTTGAGTTACAATGCCAAATTTCAGTTGTTGTTGCAGGAACAACATCTTGCTCTGCAGTGGCCTCCAAAAGGGATGAATCTTGTTTTAATAAAAAAAAAAAGTGTAAACCCTAAAACGATTTCATTAGCTTGTCTGGCATTATGTGCCATTTATATAGAGCTTTCTTAAGTAAATTGTATTTCTGTGAATCTGGTGCAATGTTTCTTACCTGAATATCCTGCCAGTAAAAGCATTTTCTGCTGCATTGTCAGGCTGCTGTGTTGCACTCCTTCAGTTGGCCACGAACAGGTCTATTGGCCAACTCACAAGGGGCTTGCACAGCAGACTGACTGCTGCTAATTGTGAGGCAGTGGCTTAGCACTGTTAGTCTCACAATCAAGAGTTAGATTGCAGGATAATAACACATGCTCTATATCAGTGGCATTGTGAGGAATCATAATTCAATCTTTTTTTTTTCTTTTTATAAAAATCACTTGAAATCTCCTAACTATTGTGTTTAATTGTGCATACATAAAATCATGTGATCATGCAACTAACAATTGCCATTGTGTGCCCAGCTTTAAGAGTACTTGTAAAATGGCATGGAGAAAAATATCGGCATCAGCCATATTTGACTGACATCAAACTCTTTGAAGCATAAATTTGTATCGAACATGTATCTAACCAATCAAATCTAACATTAGCAAATCTATCATCTATTAATTAAGCAAAATGTAGATAAACTTACTGTAATTGGCATTTTTGTGTATCAAACTGCCTAAAACATGGTGTATATGTTTAAATTTGTTTGAAGCTTATGTGTGTGTAATTTTACTCCCAACAATATTACAGCTTATCTAAACCAGGAAAAAAGGTACCATGATCCAGTGCATCCTTTTATGATGTTGCTCTGTGTAAGGTTTGAACATTGGGATACAGAGGAAAGTTAGCAGGGAACAAAATTTAAAGCCTATTTTTTTCTACATATTGCAGCTTACCAGTCTTTAAATTAGGTGGCTATATTTTTTAAACTTTTTTCCTTTATTAATCAGTCCTAACAGCAACAGATATCTTCTAATGCTACAATTCTTGTCTCTTACATAATGAGATGGAGAATTTTCACATTTTGTAACCCATTGTCTTTTTTTTTTAACAACTAAATGCTAGAAGATCAAATAGACAGTGCCTTCTCCTTGTGTAATACCCATTAAAAAGACTTATAAAATAAAAAATCCATTCTACTCACATGTACAGTCTAAAATCGTCAGCGCATAATTCTGCAACTAATGGTATAAGTACGGAACATAAATGAACAGAAGGCCCTTCAGCATGTGGCAAAAGACTAAAGCTAATGCGTTTCAGGGGTTAAACCCCCTTCTTTAGAACATACTTTATTGCTAAAAACATGCCGAGTGTATCTATATGGAGCCAAACATCCTTAAAAGCTGTATCACTGCATGTATGCACACAGGCTCTAACCCGGAAGTGACCAGCAAGAGGAGAGGTGGGCCAGCACAGCCAGGGGCAGAGCTGGCTATTAAGGTGTCAGAGTACATTGAAAACCAGACAACCATAAGGTGCTAGTTAAAATATTTATTAAGAACAGTGTCCACAGGAGCAAGCAAAAATCATAAACATGTCAGGAGCTGAATTGGGTAGTCGTACAAGCAAGGTCAGGAACACAGAGGTCAGCGTTTTCAGGAACAGGCCAGCAGCAGGAACCAGAGGAGAACGTCAACCAGGATCGGGTCATACACAGAATCAGACTACTCAGAGCAGCAGGAATGCACTAGCAGGTAAGACCACGCAAGGACTCCCATCTGGCTCTCTTAGATGATGCTCTCTTGTTTGGCCATAAGAGGGAGCCTGGGAGTAGTGAGCAATGTTACAGAGTCTGCTCAGGCAAAGGAGGAATCACAGGTGGGTAAAATGGCAGCCAAGCTAGAATGCTGCAAACCAGTTAAGTCAGGGTGGAACCCTGACAGTACCCTCCCCTCAACGACCCCCTCCCCACGGAGAGGGACCTGGTTTAATGGGAAAACGAGCATGGAAGGAGCGCAACAGAGCGGAGGCATGAACATCTTCAGATGCTACCCAAGAGCATTACTCTGGACCATAGCCTTTCCAATGAACCAAATACTGCAAATGGCCCCTGGACACACCGGAATCAATTTATACTGTGAATAATATACTCCTCATGGTCATTGACTATGACGGGTCTAGGACGGGCAGCAGAAGAAGACGGGTCTAGGTTGGGCAGCAGAAGAAGTGATGTAATTTACAGATCAGTGGCTTGAGGAATTGGGAATGCGCATGGACATAGGGAGGTCTAGAGCGTAGGCTACTGGATTGATCTTGCGAAGGATACGATATGGTCCAATGTAATGGGGAGCCTGTTGGTGGGAACCCGGAGGTGCAAATTGCGAGAGGATAGCCAAACCCTCTCCCCGACCTGATAGGATGGCGCGGGCATATGTCTACGATCAGCCTGATGCTTCTGGTCTCGAGCTGCACATTGAAGACACTCCTGCAGGCCCGACGCTACCGCAAGGCAAGCGGCCGCCCGAGGGCGCTGATGGGGTGAGGGCGGCGGTTGCGGTCCTTGCGGCGAGCCGGGCCGCAAGAGAGAACAATCAAGTGGAGGAAGAGGAGGGGCTGAGGAGGGACCGGAGGCGGGGCTATGCCAAGCCGAGTGAGATGCGAACCGTCCGCGGCCGCCCCAGGCCAGCTGACAGGGCGTATCGATGGTAGATGCTGCGGCGCCGGGAAGCATGGAGGCTCCGGGGCTGTCAATGTAGACAGCGAGTGGCACTTTCCTGCTCTTTCAGTGTGGGCTCTGCAGGAGCAGAGCATCTGACCAGGCTGAGGCTGCAGCAACAAGCAGGTAGGTTGGCCTGGGGAGGGTTTATCTTAAGGGCTTGTTCAAACCGAAAGCGGTGCGTTCCAGAGCGGTAGCTGCTGGAACGCACCGCGATCTTCCCCTGCGTTCTGGGGCGGGAGGGGTGCATTGAAGTCAATGTCAACGCTTCCAAAACTCTGCCTGCGTTCCGTTCGACTGCAAACGCAAAAAATAGAGCAAGCCCTATTTTTTTGCGTTTGCAGTGTAATGGACTGTAGGCAAAGATTTGCCACGCATCCGATCACACAGCGGGCAGGGGGGGAGAGAACGTGGAAGTGGTGCCATTGAATTCAATGCACCACCACGCCCACCTCCCGCCCCAGAACGCAGGGGTAAGTTTCATGAGCGATCGCGGTGCATTCCAGCAGTTACCGCTCTGGAACGCAACGCTTTCGGTGTGAACAAGGCCTTAGTGTTCTTCTATTTTTACTGCTAAGTCCACTGTTTTCCTGAGTCCGGCGCGCCGCATTTTTTCAGAGCGGCCAGGAGGAGAGAGAGGGAGCGCTGACAGTTGTGATCGCCGCCTTTGGATAGAAAACTGGCTACGAGAACGTGCACAAGAGTATCAGTACTCAGACTGGGCTGAGGTCATGAGTGGCATGCCCCAGGGTTCTGTGCTGGGTCCCATGCTTTTTTA